TCGAGCGGATTCTACGGCCAGAGTTAGTCCAAAGTAGGATCTACAATTTGACAAAATTCCATATTTTTTAGAATTTTTTTTTGTCCTCTTGTTGTTGTACTTTCTAAAATTTAATTTCCAAAAATCGGCGAAAGGGGGGGAGGGGCATACAGACATGGTCGCCAAACTTCGTATTTTTACGTTTCAGACCATTCTGCATCATTTTCAATGAAAATTACAAAAAGTCAAAATTCAACGATTACAAAGCTTCCATTCGGAAGCAAAAAGACATTCCATTTTTTAAGCAGAGGCTTTCTGAAATGACACACTGAAATGGAAGAAAAATTAGCAGGATCGGAGATCATTATGTAGAAAAATTAATTAATTTACTAAATACATCTTTAGGTTACAATTTTCTTGGATTCGTCAAAAAAAGGGCAGTGTCCACAGACACTGTATATGGCAATCGCCATACGCCCAAGGTAACGTTTACCATATGTTTAAGTCCTTTCTTGCCATACACGTATGGCAAAAGCCGTACACGAATGGCAAAAGCCATGCACGTTTGGCAAAAGCCATGCACGCATGGCAAAAGCTATGTGCGTATGGCGCTACGTGTATGGCTTTTGCCATGCGTGTATGGCTTTTGCAATGTGTGTATGGCAAGAAAGGGCTTAAACATATAGTAAACATTACCTTGGGCGTATGGCAATAGCCATATACAGTGTCTATAGACACTGCCTTTTTTTTAACCAATCCAAAAAAATTGTAACCTAAAGAAGTATTTAATAAATTAATTAATTTTTCTACATAATGATCTCCGATCCTGCTAATTTTTCTTCCATTTCTGTGTGTCATTTCAGGAAGGCTCTGCTTAAAAAATGGAATGTCTTTTTGCTTCCGAATGGAAGCTTTGTAATTGTTAAATTTTGACTTTTTGTAATTTTCATTGAAAATGATGCAGAATGGTCTGAAACGTAAAAATACGAAGTTTGGCGATCATGTCTGTATGTCGCCCCCTCATTTCGTCGATTTTTGGAAATTAAATTTTAGAAACTACAACAATAAGAGAAAAAAAAAATTCAAAAAAATATGAAATTTGGTCAAATTATAGATCCTACTTTGGACTAACTCTGGCCGTAGAATCGGCTCGATCAGTCCAATAGTTCCGGAGAAAAAGCGTTTTCTTTTTTAAACGTTTTTTGTAAATATTTGGAAAACTAGTTAGCCGATTGAACTATTTTTTCTTTTAAAATGTCCGTCTCGATAGCCCCTGTCTAGATCAATGAAAATCTATATAGCCGTCGGTACAAAGTTTTCAAGATATTTCCGCATTTCTTTTTTTTTCCAAAACATCGTTGTACGCGCTCCAGCCTCCGCAAAAATGGACATATCAACTTGAAATTTCGGAAACATTTTCATTCTTTGACAGCGACGGTTCTAATTTCATTTGGGCTCAGTCAGCCCAGTAGTTCCGGAGATATTCAATTTTTTATATCTATAAAAAGATATATATTTTATATCTTGAAAAGAAGTGAGCCAATTTAACTCCTTTTTGCTTCCGAATGGAAGCATTGTAATCGATCTATTTTTCGATTTCTTAATTTCGCTTCAAAAAGATGTAAAACGGTTGGTAACGTAAAAATAAGAAGTTTGATCACCCCGAAACTACAGACATACTTTAGGGCCTCATGTGTCCTCTTCGCAGGTTCATTTATATCAATATCATATCATTACAGGCATTTTTGGCTCAAAGCTTTTTTCCATGTATGCCTCATCGAGAAAAAATCGAATATGTAAAATGGCAATAAAATAATCGAAACCGTGTGATACAGGACAGACATTTTATTTCCATGCATTTGTACTCAAGTTTTATCTTTGTATGTTCGAAAATAACGTGGTACATGTGTAATTTGATGAATAGAGGGTTTAAAGGTAAAATCAGTATATGTATTACGTGGGCGTGTGGTTAAGTTCCGCTAAATGTACGTCGAATCCTATCTATAAAAGGTGATACACCAAAATTAAGTTGGGCGAGAGTAAGATTGGCTAACTTCATGCGTAAGACTTTTCACTCGTAACCCTATTTCTCATTGGTCAATTGGCTACGTCATCATCAACACCACGGAATCAAACGGCGCGCGGAGCGCGCGTTCGGTCTCGTATACATAACTCGCAACCTAATGTTCTCAATTTCGAAATCATCTGATTAAGTCACGAGCAGTTTTTCTCTATTGCCAATGTTGGACGATAATATAGGTTGATTGTTGGACGGGACACTAATTATAGGCGCGTTGTGCCAGCCATAGCTCTATAGATATGTTAATATCTCATCAAATAATGAAAACAAAGAAACAAGTTACATAAGTAGAGTGATGTATTCGATCATGTTGAATATCTTATAGTTAAAACATTTCTCTCCATCTCTCACCACTTCATAACAATACTTCCAGAAAATATAATACTCCGTATTTTTAAAAATTATTTCTAATGACGCCTTTTGCCTTTTGTCGGGAGACGGAATTTCCGGCTTCCAGTGATGAGATTCCCAAAAAATTGCGAAAACAATCAAAAGCCGTTGTTAGGTGAAGAGATGAAGAAATATAGAAATTTTAGAATGAGTCATCATTACGAGGCTTTTAGAGCCAACAAGCCTTAATTGTTGCGGTAATTGAAAAAAATCCACTTTTAGATCCCATTGAATTTTCATTCCTTAAAATATTTGAGGAATTATTCTTATATATGTATTTTCCTTAGGAAATCATATTATTTACAACTATTGAAATCTCGAGAGCTACAAAGAAAGCACTACGTCTCGAAAATATATTTACTAATCAAGCGAAAATCCTTCAACATTTATAAAAATTAACGCGCGCATACATACCTACATATAAATGGGTATGTGCGGATATCACAAAATTTTGCCAACCCTTCGTAACGAAATGTGCTTTTTTCTATAACCTCGATTACACAGCTGTATGAACGTATCATGACGATGGGATGCATATTCCAGTAACATTTTCCTAACTGGATAAAGATGGCGAATGAGATCCAAGTGGCTAACTCGTTATTGCACTTCCGTAACAATGGATTAGGGCTCAGAATGATTTGCGGGAAATCATTTTGAGATAGAGAATAAAGTTGGAATGACGCAGATATTTCTTTCGATTTCTATTAATGGACGAGATCATCAAGCTCGAATTTGGGCAGCAGCATTGTTGCCCCGCCTCCATGCAAAAACCTGTGAATATCTCATAAACTGGTGGAAATAGGATAAGAAGTTTTTTTATGATACAAGTGAAAAAAATACTTGCAGATTCCGCGTGTAAGTGCGCTTGGGCTGTCATTATGCCACTCTTATTTCCCTCATTGTTACCTACATGGGGAGGAATTTCTAGTATAAATTATCTTAATGAAAGGATGATTCTCTACTGATGTAAAAATAAATAAAAAGTTACTGCTCCCAACGGATAAAAATATGAACCTTACCAAAAACACCGTTAGCTCACACCGCGCGGGTTTGAGATCTATTTTTGTTAACAGTAAACATTGCGCAAATCGATACGATAAAAATTCAATGAAATTGTCTCTGCATTAAACTGTTGCATTTTTTTCAATGAATTTTTTTTATATTTTTTTTTCCAATCAACAAAAGTTACACATGAGAAGATTATCTCACATCAATTCAATCATCTCGGTTATTGAGAAAATTTTCTCCCTAAGAATTTGACAGTGCCACTGAAAATACTTGAAAGGCTTTTCTATCAAATGCTATGAAATTTCTATTTGATGTCTGATCTACTTGTTACGAATAAAATAAAAAAAAATTAATTCCTTCGACTTTTGGGATAAATTGCGCCGTACGGACCTCGTACAGGCGGTATTATGGGGGATAAGGCCCTATCTTCTGCCTCTCTCTTGAGCGTATTGTATTAAAGAGAGGTGCAGATAGATCTAGCTATGGATGAAGTTTTACTGGTAAAATTTAAATAAATTTGTTGCGTTACGATTTCGGTCCATCATAATGTTGTTTACAATTACGCCACGCCCACTTCATGAAGATGTCAAATACGCAGCGAGTTTGGAAGTCCGTGAAAGGTTTTCCCATGTCCTCAACGCATTGGCTACATTTTCCTACAATCGAGTGCAAGATACCCTCACGCACACTTTTAAAGCCCCCTATCACAAGTATTATTCTGTTCTCCACAGCTTCTTCATTTACTTTGACAATTCTATAGTAATTCAGAAGATTCAAATATTTATGAAGGTGTGTTCGGATAACTAGTTCATTGCATTTGACAATAAGGGCCAATTACAATGTGTGATCGCCCCGAAATTCGGCTAAAAAAAAGTTTTGGTATTTTTACCATTTATGGAGAGAATTCAATAGAGACGTTGTAAGTATTGAAAGCAAATTTTATACGCCTGAAAAATTATGTTTACATTAGTAATGCAGTTGATATCCTAAAATTATTCATTTATATATATTATTCATTCATCTGACATAATTTAGTTGGAAATTTATTGAATAACTATTGGAATTCTATCAAAATTAAGTGAACTATATTATTAATAATCAATGGAGGATCTATATCTATTCATTTGTACACCAGTAAGAGTGTCAAGAATGGCATCTGTATGGATGTCTTTCGAAACATTGAACACATGAAAGGGAAAATAAATATTGTCTGATATAACTATGACTTAATCATATATTAAATAGTTTCTAAAAGGGCAGGTTTCAACGCCAACAGTCTCGATTGTATAATTTAATACATCTAAATCGTCCGTTATTTCTTTATCGTCTTCATATCTGCAATCTGAAAAAATAATTTCTCCAATATATTATCTGCATAATATCAGGAAAACTTGTTGAATCTTGGAGAGGTTTTTAATCACAATGTACCTTCTTGATCGTGGAGAACTCGTGATTCTTCGATGTGGAGCGGTATCGTCACCTCAGTGTCATCACTTATCATTGCGTCGTCCATTAGACTACTTTCGATGAAACTCGATTTATGTTCGTCAGATTCTTTAGGACTAATATCGAATAACGGTTCGAAATTATCATCTGTAAATAAAAAACATTAGCCTCGTTTAGGATTCTGTTCATGATGTGACTGTCATCTGTAAAGATAAATGGGTGGTGCCAGATGGTATGACCCTACCCTAGTGGGTCATTTACCAACCCTTTCCCAGTACCTACGCGGTACCCCATCCTAATTCCCTACCTGCTTTTTCATCTAGCTACCTTATAATTAACTTCCACAGGCACTGGGTTCGTTTTCCGACGATGAAAAATTTTTCACCATCGGGATTCGAACCTGCGCTACCGGGACACTTTGGTCATAGGGCCAGCACGCTGACGACTAGCCCAAAGACGTCCTGACCGTCATCTGTATTAATATTATTTAGATCTACTCCTTCATGCTAAATTTGTTAAATTCAGTTGATATCAAAATAATATATCACTTCCCAACTTACATAGTGATTTAATCGACTGCGTGCTCTGCATATGCTAGCCCAACCTGTGATGAAGTGTGTTGGTTGGAGCTAATTGTGATTGACGTTATTGACGTTTTCATAAAATACTTGGATACGTGACCCTCCACTCCGGTTTTTTCACATACAGTGCTGGTTGGTGGTACTGAGCCATGTCCTGTGAATATCAATTATTAATATTGTTTCTTCAAATTTGGAAATAATTTCGAGTTGTGTCAAATCTATTGATAGTTCTTTTAATTCAAATTCCATAATATAGCTTACCTTCGGCAGGTCGTTTTTTCAGTCCAGAAAAAGTAAGCTTTGGTGGATAGGTCGTCTCAGAAACACAGATTGATGGTGATCGAATATCATTCACCTCAAAAAGGACATGTGGAGTATGGGCTGCAATAAAAAGGCATTCATAAATTTGTATAAAAAAGACACATTCACGGGCATGGCTTTTGTTTCAATTACATTTGCCTGGTATCATGATATCCAGTCTGCTCAATAATGCAGGTCGAATGGTCATACGAAACAGCTCTGCAATTGAGATCCTGTAATAAAGTCCACTTATTCAATATTTTGGCCAGTTAAAATTTTTTATTAATATATGAAAGACTGTCTATACTTATTAGTTAAGCGTAGCTGCAGATATTTTTGGAGTTGCTTTTGATCATAATTAACCATCAGAGGGAATACTCGATCCCTACGCGCCTTTGTATCACTGTTGACGAATGCATTCATTCTCGTTAATTCGTAGTTTCCCAGTACATGGACTGAATCTGTAATAAATACTGCATTATCAGATTTAAATTATCGTAAGAACGTGTAGAAACATGAATTTTATTGACATATTCATTGAAAATCTCACTTACCAATAAATTTCTGCAGAGTGTTATTTTTTTGCATTTGAGCTACAACAAATCGACCAAGGGCTTCGGATCTTTCACTCCAGATGGAAGCTTCTGATGGTGGGGTAATGTGATCCATTCGATGCTGCCACTGATTTTTGAAAAGCGAGAGAAAAACGGGCAGATTTGGATGGCTTGCAATATTTTCGTCAACCAGGCTTGTAATATGGGTTAGTCCTTCGTCAATGTCTTTTTTGGTGACACAGAAAGTCAGCATCCAACAGTAATGAACAATGTCAAGGGGTGGATTTTCCATGTTAAAACTATTCCATAACTCGCATACGCTCTATGGATTAAAAAACCTTTTTGCCACAGCTTCCACCATTATCTGTACAAAGTCGAGCCAAGATATACTAATTGTAGCTTGGTGGAGAACAGCACGAACAGCTTTCATGGTAAGTAGCACTATCTCCTGTGGTTATCACTGACTTGACGTTGTTTATTCCCGGAGTCAATGCAGTGATATAAGTCAACGCCTTTTCATACAACTCATCGGATCGTTCCCGGGTATAAATAAATACTGCTCCAAATGTCTACGACAAAAAAGATTCATGTACCTTTCTTTTCGTTAAAAATGATACTTAAAAATGATGTTATGACGAAACTTACAAAAATAATTGATTTGTCATTGATGAACGCCACGCGTATCATCCACATCTCATCGTCAACAAAATCGGGTAATACCTAAGCAAATAATACAAAAGTAAGACAATACTGAAAAGCACAAATATCAGTGGTACTCATTATCCTTCTTCTACGCACATTTGCTACTCGACTGATCACTATTTTTTCTGCTGTGTTGAGCGAATTCATCATTGGGTCTGTGGAAAATATTAAGGCCTGTTGTGTTCCAGCTGCTATTAGTCCCTTAAAAATGGCTCGACCTCCTCGTGCATTTTCCATGCTAACTCCAATTTCCTCGAGTGTTTGAAGAATTTCATTACTTGGTCTCGCTCTCCGAATCATCTGCTTTACCGCGAACGGTGATTTGAAATCTGAATTTCTACACAATGTGATGAATAAAGAAATCACATGGGTATCATGAGCAAGTTAAAGCATAAAAAAATTTATATCCGAACCATGTGACGTCAATCAAGTTATCACAAAAGCGACGTAGAATACTTTAATTATTAATTTTCATACCTTTCAATAAAATCTGTAGTTACCTCGTCCAGAGTAATATCGTCCCGTTTTATGACCTCCGCCAAATCGGCTTTCAGTTGTAGGTTTTTGATGACTGTGAAATCTACTGCATCGCTATGCACACCTTCACTTTTCACCGTACCATCATCGTGTTATATAATATTGCTGGACAATCAGTTCCCGATCGAGTAGCACATCGATAAGTTGTCGTTCGTAAACTGCGTCCATCCTCATGGTAACGGTAATTGTCGTATACGTACACCCATGTACCTGGTCTTTGACCTGGGCATCGTTTAATGACGTTCTGCTGCAGTTATTCAAAAATATAGAATTAAAATCTGCTCATAATAATCTATTCGTATTAAACAGATTTACGCATTCACTATAAGTGCAAAAAAAATAAGACAGAAAAAAATATTGAAGCGACGAACTGAGAATGAGAAACACTAAAACTTATCATTTGAATATGTCTTATTCTCCTATTCACACATAAAGAATTTTACAATATCAAGATTAATAGTATGCACCATTATAAAAATATGGATGTTAAATGTCACTGTCAATTATTGTTCTTATCATATAAAAAAACTGAATTTATCTCACTTCACGAGTCCGGAAAGGTACAAAAATTTCAACGTGCTGCTGTGGTGAACTATATTTGCGTTTCGTCGCTGTCGAACCGAGACTGATTTGCCCTTGCGACTAGTCACGGGCACGGGCATTTTTTACACATGAATGTTCGGTACCGGTGAATAAAAATTAATATTGTTGTTGTGATAGATTTCCATTAAAATAGAAAAAAAAAATCATGTTTCATAATGGTAAATTCTGTAACAAAGAGGTGAAACTTCTCGCTTCATTTCGAGGAATCTTTTCAGATCTGACACATCTGATACCGCTCTACTCAATTGACTATAAGCCTGCTGAACTTGATAATTTATTATCAAGTAACTTGATGATTTATTGAAAAAAATGTTGGAGAAAAGTTACAACTTTCCTCAGAGAACCTCTCAAGTTAGCGAAATTCTTTCAAGAAAATACATATACGCCAAACAAAAGGAACCTTGACTTCATTTGTTTAAACGGAAATATTCCAGTTGACTTCATCTCGAGGGCAAATTCAATCCAGTTCAAAATTGCCGATTTAAATGTAACCAGACACAATGTACTGCGACGTAATTTTTGAAGGTTCACGGAACCCTTCGTCCATTAGCCTGCCCTCTGGCACCAAAACACCCCAAAAATAAAATCAGAAAATTTAGTCAGGCGCCAGGTCATTAAAAACGGAATGACCACCGTGAACAAAATCCTTCTCCACTCTTAGCTTCAATAACTCCTGTAGCTCGTTTCGTAGAGATTTAAATAATCGGAAGCTGAAAGGGGATGAAACTGGGATCCTCAGCAAAAAATAAATAAAATAAGAATTGTCGGGGAGAACAATATTTAATAAAAAAAAATCAGTCTCGATACATAAAAAAAATTAATAAAATAAAAACCCCTTAAATCGACTACGTGTTACAGAATATTTAAATTAATCGGTGAAGTCAAATCGTCTGATTAAGTTTATACAGGTTTTTTTGAAGTTTAGAAATTTTCTAAATAAATAAATTAATAAATAATAAAATAGTCACAGAAGTCAGAATTAATTTAAATATCAAACAACTGAGTCACGAGACTGGAGTTGTTATTATCAACAAAACTAAAGAAAAATTAACGGAAAACAATTGAGTTACAAAACTCAATTGTTAGCAGTCGGAGAACTCAAAAGTTTTATCAGAAATACTTTACAAGAAATTGTCACATTAATTCAATGCCTCTAAACAGTAACGCGAAAAATCGATAAGTCTACGTGACCTCGAGCAATCAAACATACACAAAATAAATACAAAAACTAGAGGTAGAATAATTCGCAGGTCACGAGACCTTGAAACTAATAAATTGAAATTAAATTCAATGGCGAGAGCAACAGGTTTTGCGATACAAAATCATCACACAGAAGTCGCAAAACTCACGGAAAATCGTAACTAATAAAGTTGTAAATAAACTGAATATAATAAAAAAAAAATTCCGAATGAGAGAGAGAGACAAGATATTTGCTGATGAAAGTGGCCAGAGATCGCATAATGGAATAATTTCCTTGAATTCAATACTTACGTTTTTTTGTTAAACAGAAGTGTTAAACTAATGTCTTATGACAATTGTCATGTTTAACACTCAATGTTCTACTAAAAGACAGCCGTAGTGAAATCTTTCAAAATTAAAGTGAGAAAGACATTAATTTATTTTTGAACGTATAACAGAAAAATCCTCTGAATAGTTGGGCATGCGCCGTCATACTTGCAAAGTCTTATCCCCTCCACGCAATTTTGCAATCACGTTTGTGGCTGATAATTTCCAGACTAATGACTCTTAAACGTCGATTCAAATGAATATAGTATTTACAAACGAATTGCAAACGATTACAATAAAAAAAAATCATTTAAGAGTGATTAGAAAAAAAAATGCGGTTAACTACATGGGTGATGAGTTTTTTATTTTTTATAAAAAAAACTATCTACTCTTGAACATTATAACCATTTTTACAATCACCTGCGAACGATTTACAATCGATTGTATGAGTTCGTTTTTGTAATTGTTGATAATTTGCGGCTAATTACATACTGCTTCACTTTCTTGATGTGTTGCCTGAATTGTGGCTCCATCGACGACCACAACCATAAATCAGTGACTGCCAAAATTCCATCAGAACCTGACGACATCTTCCGGCCCCGTCGAGATCCTTAATGATGTCCTCAGCAGGAACGCAGTGGCGCGTAATTTGATTGGAAAGGTAAAACAAAATAAATGAAAATAATGATCTCCTCTCTTCTCAAAACTCTCGCCATTGAAGGTCACTTCCCGTCTGGTGGAAGTCTCTAAAATCACGCGAAACGGTCGAGGACCAGTAACTGGTAGAAATACCACGTTACAGTACAAATATTCTACAGGTTCCTTCTGAAATACAACACAGCTGTCTCTATATTGCTTTATGTTCTGATTTGATCCTGAGGGTAATTTTTTTTGTCATTTTATGTTTGTGTTAAGTCATCTCGACGATATTTCTACTGTTTTCGATAATAAATCAAACAAAACTGTGAAAGCTTTCATCACCGGGAACAATAAATATGGCTACTAATGTCTCCTCGGATCCGGGTGCAGTCATTTTTAGATAACCGAAGCGCGTGATTTAACAAACAAAATTCGATCGTCATCGGAAATGTACGTAAAGTGAAGAAGAAAATTGGACTTGTCAGTTAGAAAAAAAAATGTACTATAAAGCATATATCATGTTTATAACTGAGTCACCCTTGGGTATCACTCTCTGAGAAACGAATAACAGTTAAGGTGGTTGTCGCGCGACAGTCTCTGTAAAAAGTTTATCCGCTG